CAGCTCTAGTCCCCGTGAGCCGGCCGGCCTGGGACCCTGAGGCGTGTTCGGAGGGCAGCCCGGGTCCTCCCGAGGGCCCAGGCCTGAGGCCTTGAGTGAGGGTGAGTCATTCTGGCTCGGCCACCCCCGTGCGAGCGCCAGGCCGCCCGCCCGGCGTGTCTGGGGGAAGGCAAGGCTACCTCGGGGCTTTCGTTTTACAGTGACCTCTTCCCGGCAGGAGGAAAGCTGGCCTGTGAGGAGCAGCAGCTGCTTCCCTGGGGAGAGACACAGCGCTCAGCCCTGGCCTCCAGCCACCGGCTCCTGGCACCCCGGGGACTCCTTGGGAGAGCGCTGGCATCCTCCTGCCGTGCCAGGGTCCTGGGTGCTCGGGGCTCCCCGTGTGGGGCTGGGGTGCTCCCCTCTGTAGTGAGGGCTGATCACCAGGGGACCAACACACAGGGGCCCCGGCAGAACTCATCTCTGAGCCGAGGGGTACGGGGCTCCCTGGGAACCCCCATCTGCTGGGGCTCAGAGGGTTCCTGAGGCAGGGGCTCCTTTTCCCCAGAGAAGCCTCTCACTTTTCCTTCTACCTCGTGGCCCTGAGCCACCCCACGCAAGGTGGGCAGCTCCGGGGTCCTGCCGAGGCAGGAACAGCAGGCTCGTCTAGGGAAAAGCGTGTCCCGTGGAGGGAACACTGTCAGACCCGTCGGCCACCCTCAGCTCCTGTCCCTCCACCTTTGCTGTCTGTTGAAGGTGCAGATCCGCCCGCCCGCCATCCCTCCTACATGGGGGCACTGCCTGCTGGGCGTCGGGATCTTCTGGGGTGGGCGGTCATCTCTACCTGGAGCGGGGAGAGGGAGGAGGGGCGAGGTGCAGGGACAGGGGAGTCAGGTCAGGGGCCTGGCCACCTTCAGATCTCGCTGTGGCTGAACGTCCCCCCCGAGAGGCCATGGAGACCTGACACGCAGGAGGGAACGGGGCCTGTCCAGTCAGGGCTGTGGGCAGGGCCGGGCCCTGGCTCAGCCCCAGTCACAGAGTCTTCAGGGGGCGTGGGCGGCCCTGGGAATCACGGGCATTCCCTGCTGTCCTGGCTGTTCGAGGAAAAGTTTACGAAAAGGGATGGGGGTGGGGGGGTGACTCTCCTCCTGTTGGTCGATGCTCTTTCCACCTGTCACCTGCTCACCCGATAATCTGACATTTGTTGGTTATTGTAAGACAGGCTGTGCTGGGCCCTGGAGGTTCCCGTATGAGCCTGACCGGGGCCTTGCCCTCAAGAAGCCCCCAGGGCAGTGGAAGTGGCAGAGGGTGTTGTGTGACACAGATATGGAGGCAGGTCTGAGCTTCAGAGAGGAGAGGATGGCCTGGTAACAGGCGCTGAGTCCCGGCTGCCTCGTGGTCAACCCAGCAGCAATGAGCACATCTAGCACTCAGGTCTTTTTTT